AGAAAAATTGAAAAAAAACTGTCCTTCCCGAGAATCGAACAAAGGTCATTAAATCAGTAGCCAGTCACTTTACTAAATTATCAGGGCTCTACAAGATTTTCGTAATATCCCTTAATAGGTTCATGCAAATGTAACGCAAAGGGTCACGGGCGACCCATCATGTACATAACCTCTGGTCCCGGACGTGAACGCGCTCTGAATGTCATTAATGAAAGCGGTCGCTGTGGATGAAGAGCTTCATGTATAAAGCATTCCTCCAGCGGATAGGGAAGTCAGGCAGCTGGTAACTCAAGAGGGAGGAAGCCAGAGAACTAATTGTTCCCGGCAAATGGCTTCTTCAGCTGGACATCTCTCGCATGCTAAAAGACTTGACGTCACTCTCGACCAATCCTTGAACACACTCCATAAAAACTTCCACCTCAAAGCGTATCTAGAGAAAGTGTCCACCATCGATCGGGAATTTTATTCAAATAAAGTGCACTGAAATAATGAAAATTTCATATTTATTACGAGTTTTGTTTGGTTACTAAGGACTTATTTCCGTCGGACGTACAGAAAGAAGGGTTGCCAAATATGCATGGAAACTGTTGGTCAATTGTACAATGAAACCGATTATTTGTTTATGGAACGAAAATTATCAACAGGCCAAAAAATACCATCACGTCTTGAACAGGCTACGTTAGCATTACCGAGGCTGGACTCGAAAGCAAAATTAGAACCCAATGGTCATGAAGAAGTTAAAGGTATCACCACCCTCACTTCGTTTCTGCAGCTGGTAATTTTGTCTGCGAACTAAAACCACACGGGAAACATTTCGTAACATCATCATCTCTATAAGTTACATTCAGAAATATAAGAAACACAACTTAAATTGTTCCTCTATTGTAATTAAGTAGAGAAATACCAAAAGATAAATGAAAATCAAGAAAACAGATATGGACGATTTTTTTGCCCCAGAAAAAACAGTCCCCACAGTAACCACATGGAAATACGGGAAGACCAGTTGCGTGATGTTTGTCACCACAGCACTGAAAAGTCTTCAGGTTATGGAAGGAGGCGAGAGGCCGAAGACAAATACAGCGTAGCTGAGAACATAATGAATCAACTGTTATGGAGCAGTCACAGAGATGTGTGAGGACCCTCGCTATAAAATCTAATATGCTATGAAATGTAGAAGAGGTGTCCAAGGACCTCGAAACGACGGCAATGAACCTTCGGAAATTTCTCAACCAAACAACTCTAAAGACAAGACGTTACGATG